AATGTTTATATTGTACATATACAGGGTGTCCCGTAAGTAGAGAGAAATATTTAAAAGGTTGATAGTAGACATCAAGAACGACAAAAAATATTCATATAAACAATTGCCCAATTTCCAGCATAAAAGGAGGAAACTTAAAATTTGTATTTTTTTTTAAGCGAGCCATGTTATTTATTGAATAAGAAGCGATAGCTTAACAAATATTTGATGCTCCATAGTTAACTAGATAAATTTTATTTTAAAGGAAAGTAGATTTTGTTATTGTTAGAGGACTATTGAGCGAACAAAGCTAAATTCCGTTTAAAAAAAACTCATAAATTATTTGTCATTTTTTGTATGACCCTTCAACTGTACTACATTTACGACACTTATTGAAATACTTCGTTTGATAAGCTTTAAGTTTAGATTTATTAAATTGAGGTTTATTTGGGAAATTTTAAGATTCATCTCAAAATAAAGAAATTATGTAATTTTCTATCCAGTATCATAGAAGTACAGTTTTCAGCAAAAATGACTACAATTAACTGTTGCAATGTTTTTATTTCATGTTTTCTTTCTAATATGGGGAATATTATGATAAACATAATTGCCTAAAACACATTTTATTTATTAAAATAAAAAATTTAAAAAAAAAAACATTTTTCATGTAAGGTGGTGATGAATTTGTGTTTTTCTCCCAAATTTCTGTCATAGGATGTGTATTGAACATAATGAAGGAAGTGACAAACTTGATGTTTCTAACCCTAATATGTATGTTTTCATGAAAATAATTGAAGCATTCAATAGGTTTCTTTATTTTAAACGTACATTTCAGTAAGTAACATTAAGTTTCTTATTGGAGTTAGTGAACGTTACTTAACTTCTTAACGTTAGTAAGAAACATTAACGTTAAATAGTCAGTACTTTTAGGTGACTCAATAGAAAATCACGTAGTTTCTTTACACAAGTTGAGTTGAATCTCAAAATTTTTCCTTATTAAACGAGAAAGTTTTTCTAAAAACTGGGTATCTGTAGTATAGTTGGACAATGATTAAAAAAAAAAAATCAGGAATAATTTACGTTTTTTTAAAAAACAGAACTTAGCTTAGTTTAACTCTTAAAAAGTCCTGTTTACTTGGTGTTGACAATGACAAACCCTACTTTCGTTTAAAGTAAATTTTGTCTAGTTTACAATGGAGCAATGTTTAGTTACTTAAATCAAATATTTGTTAAGCTATCGATTTCTAGTCAACAAAAAAGTGACTCGCTTAAAAAACAGAAATATTAAATTTATTACTTTTCTACAGGAAATTGGGCAATTGTTTATATGAACTTTTTTGTAGATTTTAATGTCTACTATCTTGTAAATATTTCCCTTACTTACGGGACACCCTGTGTATATATATAAACATAAACTCAAAATCAAAAAGTTAAAAATAATTAAGTTGAAAACATTAAACGCGTTTAGTTTTTATATAATATATGTATATATGTATGTGTGTATATATATGTATACATATATATGTTTATTTTTTTTAGTATTATTATTTTGCTGTCATTCCTTTTGATTTAATCTTATTTATTATACATATGGTGTGAATGGATTTCCCTATCTCTATTATTAATGTCTTTAATTGTGACAAAATATAACATTATTCAATAAAGAAATGTTTAAAGAAAAAAAAATATATTGACATATCACATAATGTATCCTAATCCATTTCAATGTCCATTTTATAAGTTGTTAACACTGACAATCAAACCTAAATTACCTCTTAATGCGATCGTAGAGCAATTAGGCATTGTTTATTAAGGCATCCATTTGCTTGGTAATCTTTTTTTACGTTAAACCAAATTAATACGATTTTTCTAATACCTCTGTATCTTCAGTTTCACTTGAGTAATTAATTTTGCAACCAATATATTACATCATTTTTTTTTTACATTTGCCCTACTAGAATGACACTTTTAAACAATATACTTAGCTGAAAAAACATCATTTTAATTTAGGTATTGTTTTTAAATACAATTAAAAGATTTGTTCACCACATATATTACTCTGGAAACTAACAAAAAAAAATTTAGAAAAATGGCCAAAAAAGAAGGTTTGATAACAAAATTATTTTTATAATTATATTTTAATCTAATTATCTTTCTTCTCCATGTGTTAGTGTTCTGATCCCAGATCGCTCCGGTTATCGTGCGGAGGATTTTTCTCTCAATTCTTTCAACACTTTTTTCTAGGGTGCTGGTTTGAGTCCAGGTCTCACAGTCATATATTTGAACTGGTAATAGCACTGAGCACCCTTAATTTGATATTTATAGGGATTTCATTTCCTTCGAAAAGGAGAAGAAAGCTCATTTTGTGCTTGTCATACGCTAGTCTATTTCTGCCAGTTGGTCATTTATCTACTCTCGGAAATTAAATTCCTTCTACGCAGATCATGTCATTGAGGTGGAATTTTCGGCTAATTATCATATATTTTGTTTTGTCTCCATTTACCTGTACGCCAATCTGCTCTGCCTATCTTATCAAAGTCTTAACGAGTTTCTCTATGTCCTCTTGATTACTTCCAAGGACAGCTGTATCATCTGCGTATCCAAGGATTTTATGATTCCTTTTTATTTTTCCTTTCATTTTTAAATTATTTCCAGTTATCTTCTCAAATCAAGAGGATCCCGCATTTTCGTACCGCCCAGGGCTCCAATATTTCTAGCTCCGCCACTGATTACATGAAATCTTATAATCGCTTTTGGTAATGTGAGGGAAATCGAAAGTTGTTATGGAAGGATAGGTATCTGGATTGGGCCAAATCGGAAACATATGGAACATTAAGGTCTTTATGGATGATTTTATTTGCGACAAAGTAAGGAGCGTTGAGGATTTTACGAAGGATTTTGGATTGTAAGGATTGGATACGAGAGGAATTCGACGATTTGAATTTAAGTTCAAATAAAACTTTACCCTTCGTCGTAAACCTATGTCCTCTTGTCCTACAGTATCCTTTAATAATACCCCACTTATCCCTGTTGAACAAATTCGATACCTTGGACTCCACTTAGACAAACGTCTAACTTGGAATCCTCATACCAGACTGAAACGACAAGAAACAGCTCGACGTTTCCGACTACTCCAGCACTTACTAGACAAACGCTCTAAGCTCCCAGTCAATTACAAAAGACTCATATACATGACTACAATAAGACCTATTTGGACTTACGGAGTTGAGCTCTGGGGCTCCACTAAGCCATCGAATTCCTCTCATATCCAATCCTTACAATCCAAAATCCTTCGTAAAATCCTCACTGCTCCTTACGTCACAAACAAAATCATCCATAACGACCTTAATGTTCCTTATGTTTCTGACCTGGCCCAATTCAGATACCTATCCTTCCATAACAAACTTTAGAACCATCCAAACCCTCTCGATTCTAACCTAGCTTCCTCTTCGATCCCTGACAACCCTCCGAGGCGCCTGAAAAGAAGATGACCTCAAGATCTCCATTTTTAAATACATTTTTAGATATCTACCAGTGGGAAATTTCTCAACAAGTGATTTCATGCTATTTTATTCCTTTTTTCACATTTACTGAATGTATTTTTACTTGTAATACAGTTGTAAATATCATCAATAAAAACATATAAAAAAATTCAAATAATAACGGCTCGCTATTCGTGCTATTCACACTGGTCTTTCTTACCAATATAACGGGTATACAAGGAGACTCGCAACAGTCAAGTTATTTATTTCTATTCCCTCACAATATAGAATTCCATAGCTTTCTTATATAATTCTTTCCGTATTTCCGTGTGCTTATATCGGGGCACACCTTGCCCCATATCAATAACTAATGGTCGGATCCAATTTCCCAACTTCTTAAGCCTACAATCGTTTAAATTAAATTAAATTTACTTCATGGTCTATTAACTTAAAAAATATGTTTTAGGATATATGACTTGATCTAATAAGCTAATTTCTGATCGAATATGACTGAAAAACAATAAAATTGAGAATACAAAAATTAGACTACTTTTCAATGGCTACGAAAATTTACCAGGTTACTGACGAACGGCTCGCTGCTCTTCCGGTTCACAGTGTAATTCTTTCTTAGCAATATAACGGGAAAAATCCTAAAAATTGCATTCTAATGAAAAATAACGATTTTTTTTTTTTCAAAGTAACTCATTATTATAAATAGAATAAAACATTATTTAACCAAAAATTCATATATAATTAATATATTTTTATTGAGACTTTCATTAAAATTAATTTTGATTGAAATTATTTTAATTTCTTTATTTTATCAAACAAGTCTAAAAAATAAATTGTTTTTGTGTTAAAACTTTAAAACCTTTTTGAGATTTTAGCTATCACATAATATAATTTGTAATGACATTTTACATAAACCTAAATCATTACAACAACGGCTCTGGTTATTTAGTAGATGTTGGATAGAACTAATTTCAACAATCTCTGTTTTGTCACATAGCTAACTTCATTGAGAGATTGCACCTGAACTAGCCAACCTTGATAACATTTTTATTGTTCCAAAGCTGAAAATTATTGCTTTAATTTCTGGTTGGACTAAATTGGTGAAGCCGTGTATGAATACAGATTATTAATAAGCTATAATATGATATCGACAGCCAGACTACAAAATCTTGTCAGTACAATTATATAAGAAAGTATGGGTTTGTGCTCTTCTGGGCAATCCTTGCTTCGTCTATATTGAGAAAAACAAATCCAAAACGTTATTTAAAAAATAACATCTTTGTATTTAGTATACAGTAATGATTGAACAAAAATATCTTCTTCATAAAATAAGAAATAAGCGTAATAATTTTAGTTTTTGAACTTGAGAATTTCACAGTGTGACTGTCGATATATTATTTATGGTATTCAATTTGTTTTTAAAAGAATGAACTTTTATTTTTTTCTCTTTTTTTTCAGGTGACAGGTGTGATTTCCAAGAGAATAAATTCTTGAAGACTTAATGAATTACACGACAAACTATTATAAATGGCATCTGCCTTATTGCACATGAGCTGCCCATCATTGAAACATGACATCATTGGCATGGAATCTCATTCTTTTAGGGAAACTCTGCAAGGACTAGAAGGGGCTAAACGGGACCACGATTTAGAAGATTTAGACCGCTCCCAAGTTAAAAAAAGACGTAAGCAATCCAAACCGAATAGAATAACTTCTACTGAATTGTTTTCTGAAGTCGATATTAAATCTTCAGTTTGGGTAACATTACAACAAAACCAACCGTTAATTCCTTTGAAAGAAACAGATAAAATAAGAAACTATGACATCAGCTTTTGTAATGTTGCCAAAGAAAATAAAGTTGAACAAAAACATGACAGTGAAGCAGAAGAGAGTTCAGAAGACAATTGCTCAGGAATGTACAGTTCAAATAAAAAAAAAGACTTTTCGTTTCCTTTGAATTTATCCCACAAGACACCTTCGCCTCAAGACTCAGTAGACTCATTCTCATCAACAATAGAAGAAAGAAGCTGGTATAAAAATTCTGATAGTGCTCCATTAATTTACAATTTACACAATCCTGACCAGATGAATTTGAAGAACCAAACTTTCCAAAATAATCTGTTTCAGCCATCCCAACCTTGTAATTTAATATTGCCAGGTTTTAAGAAGATAGTTGTTGGTAATAATGATAACCAAATAAGCTCACCTCACCGCATTTTCAATCCGGAAGCATTTTGTGATTTATGCAACAAAGAATTCTGCAACAAATATTTCTTGAAAACCCATAAAGCTAACAAACATGGTATTTATATGGAGAATATAGGTCCTAACCCTATAGATAACCTAACTTCCCTACCTTTAATGAATTATTTTTCCAGCAGTATTGCCAACTTATCTTTATCTAACACACAAACAAATAAAAAAATGAGTACAAACTTTAATAATAATTCGAATAAATCAAACAGTAGCATGAGAGCATTTTGTAATATATGTCAACGCGAATTCTGCAATAAATATTTTGTACGTCGCCATAAAGCAAAAATTCATGGCATTGTAGAAAATAATGGAGATGTTGATTTTAAACAGCAAATCATAACGGATAAAATAGACATTTCAGACTCAAATCTTCCTGGACCATCTACAATCAAATATCCCAAAGAATTCCAGAGTGGCAAAGAAACGGCTGAACATGCAATTGAAGAGGATAAGCCAACTGTCAAAAAAGAAGAAAATGAATCACAAGACACAGATAGCCCTCACGATGCTCTCAGTTTATTAGTTTCAACATGGCAAAGTGAAGATAGTAAAGATTGTTCGAAATCGCCTGAGAGAAATAAAAAATTACTCGCATCCAACAATAGTGCTTTTTGTGACATTTGTTGTAAAGAATATTGCAACAAATATTTTCTTCGAGTTCACAAGCAAAAATGTCACGGTATACCATTCCCAGAAAAAGACGACAAGTTGAAAGAATTTAATAACGTACCAAGTAAACCTAGTCAATCTATGCCTTTGAATTTAATATTACGAGAAAATAACAAAAATCAGCCTGAAAACGATTGTAATTATGTATGTAACATTTGTAACATTAATTTTTCTGACAATTACTCAATTAAAATGCATAATGAACAAGTTCATAAAAACGATAAAACTCTAAACAATGGAAACAAAAGTTTTCAAGTGACAGAACAACAGGCACCTATCAAAACAAATTTCGATATTCCGAACCCCAGGCTAGTTGACACGTCAAGTCAAAACGTCCATACCCAAGAAAAAAGCAACAATTGTCCAAAAAAGAACTCAAATATTGATATTCAGAAAATGAACGGAATGTTATTAAAACTTAATCAACATATACCATTTGAAAACCATATGTGTGATGTTTGTAACCAAGATTTCGGAACAATATCAACTTTGGAAAACCACATTATTAGAGACCATGCATCATTAATAGAAGAAATTAGTAATTCATTTTATGAAGATAATCAAATGTTCCCAATAAACCAATATAATAAATTAGAATGTGTTAAATGTCAAAAAAATTTTCAAACCGTCAATCTTTTGGAACAACATTTTGCTGAAAAACACAGTATTTGCGAACCTAAAAGCAGTATTAAGCTTTCGAATGAAAACCAAGACATTAACAGCCAGTTATCTACAACTGACAGGCAAGTCATGCATACGCCCACAAGTAGTTTTTGTGAAATATGCAAAAAAGAACTGTGTAACAAATACTTTATGAAAACACATATGCAAAGAATGCATGGAATATCTATAGAAAATGGAGCCCATATTGGAGGTGTCGTGTGTGATATTTGCAACAAGGAATTATGTAGCAAATACTTTCTCAGAGTTCACAAACAGAATTCTCATGGCATTGTAGAAGAAGCATTTTTACCGCAAATTGGTTCTGAAATAAAAGTTCCTATGGCTAACGCTGATATAGCTTTGCGACCCAATGACAATGAATTGAATCACCGTTATTTCAGCCATTTTACAGAAGTATGTACAATTTGTAACAGACGATTTCGTAGTGCTAAATGGCTTCGAGCTCATTTGCTTAATGACCACGGTGAAGAAGGTAAAGATAAATGGAAAGAAGTTCAACTACAAAACGGTAATAAGCCAATCGATCGTCCGCTGTGTGACAGTGCAAAAAAAACTGATCCGTATTATTCTCAATCGTATAAAAATTTCATTAACGATATACCACTAAGTGATAGTGGTCCAAGTACATCTGATCAAAATTGCGAAATGTTGCCATCATTTTTAAATCGCAATACTTCAAAACAGTATCAATGTTCTTATTGTCCATTTTCAACTTCAGTTTTAGCCTTGCTTTTGGTACATGAACGAACCCATTTACCTATCATAACAGATATGCAAGATATTCGTTGTCCAGTTTGTGCAGTATGTTTTGACAATTCTGAAAGTCTTGATAAACATTTAACTCTGAAACATTCACTACCAATGTTTCCATTTAAAAAAAACCCTGAAGAATCTGGAAACTTTAATGAAAATCCACATGCTTTTCAGTGTGAAGAAATGGAAAATAAAGCAGGTCTTAATAAAGATGACAATAATTATGAAGAGATTAATGATTCTAAATTTGATGCTAGTCCACAAGCAGATGCTTGCTTGAAATGTAACAGATGTTCTTATATGACACATCATATAGAACTATATTCTGAACATATTAAAAATGAACATAAGTTAGATGAACCTCAGATGGATTACTTGCAAATTATAAGAGACGCCTTATTACAAATCGCGAATAATTCTCATATTCCAGCATCATTTGCTGTTCCGAATAATCTTGGAAACTTTATGATGCAACCATTTGTATTAGAAGATAAGGCCTTTGGAGCAAATTCACCCAGCACGTTCCTATCTTCCTTAGTGTTCCTTCCTGTGAAAGAAAGACTTGACAAACCTATCACTGCATCATTCAAATTAACTCCGACATAGTCTACTTTTAAGTTGATAAATTCTGTAGAGATTTTCCAGGAATAGCATTGTCTGAAGTGCTGATGATTTACTTTTTGTTTTTTACCTTTCAATTATTTTAATATGTTCAAAAAAAATAATTAATAATGCTGAAAATAAGGTGTATTGTGACGGACATAGTGGAGAAAATTTGAATAAAGATATTTTTTGGCTATATGTTAAAAAAAAACTGGAAAATAATTAAATCATTTATAATTTTTTTGTAGATATTTATCAACTGGTTCATATATATAAGCACTTTCAGTCATTTGCTATGGAAAGTTTCTCATTTTAATGTTCCTATATTATTACAAAAATGTAAGTAACTGAGAAAAGTATATTAATTAGATTAGTGGAATAGAGGAGCTGTTACTGTGATGTTCCTGAGTAAAAATAGAAAATGGTATGGAACTTAAAATGAACTATGTTTTTAATATTTATTAAGATATTATTAAGATATTAGGTAAGTGATTTTAGAGCAAAAGCAATTTCTTTTATTATATATATATATTTTTTTTTTTTTTTTTTTGGTAAAACAACATAATATGGTTGCATCAGTCTATATTTTTCCAACGAGATTATTATATTTTCAATTAATGAAAATAATAACATAGAAACATGCATGTAAATTTATTGACTTGTAAATTTTGTTAATGTTACATGCATTAAAGTTATTTTTTTCAATAGCTTTTTAAATATGTATCTTCGTGTTTTAATGTTGGTTTTACCAAATGAAGAAACGCATTAATGACCCACATTGAGAAGTAACTTATACTCCATAAGACTGAATCCTATTAGCGATTCTTTAATGATTCTGGTGTGAGGTAAAGTTGGTTCTATAATAGTTAACTATTAGATTAATTGGTGATATTTACAAAAGTTCCTATTGAGCCTTGATACTCTAAGAACGTAATATTTGTCATTATTAAGGACCTTAAAATAATTTCTGCTCAAATATAATGTTGAATCATTCATTTCTGGACTTGCAGTTACAACAATAGTCCTAATGTCTCAGGGTTGCACAGTCAGTACAATAGCTGATATAATTGTTTCTTGTGTATTTAAGTGTTTGTGTGGGTGATTTCCTCAACTCAGTGAATAAAAAAATCAGACACACAAGCAAACTTGTACAAAATTCATAGCATTTATAGAAGAATGTATAAAGCCTGAATGTATACATTATAATTTGGTAGAAAAAGAGCCAACATAATTGGCTATAACAAACATTGTTTATGGAATGAAATAATTTTCTAACACCCTATTTACAGATTAATCCCAATATATATATATATATATATATATATATATATATATATATATATATATATATATATATATATATATATATATATATACATATATATTTACATACATAAGCATATATTATTTTGTTGAAAAGTAAAAATTATATATAAAGTGTTAGGAAAATATTTCATCTCAAATGCTTAATAATAATTAGTAAAATTATCATAAATAATTAATTAAGTGAAAAGTAAGCATGACATAAAACAAAATTCAGGTATTAAGAAAATTAAATATATGCATTTGATTCCTTGCATTAGTTTTTTTAAGTTGCAATTAGATAACATGATTTTATATATATATATATATATATATATATATATATATATATATATATATATACATATATATATATACATACAATGTATGATACTTATAATATGATAGATAAATAGACAAATTTATAATATGGTTATAACACCATTAAGGGTAGATTTTATAAGATAAACATTTTTATACATAACTAATGGAAGGGTAGCCGTAATTGAAGTAAAAAAATTATCAAGGTAGAAAACTACCTCCTTTGAAATGTCAGGGAAATTTAACTTAACAAACTTAATGGTCCATATTGTTCATACACTGTTATTATTTTCTTATGAAATCAAGGGATAGATCCATTAGAATTAAGTCTTGTCAATATAAAACAAATACAGTAACTAATATTAAAAAGGGACTTTAAAAATCTAGGTACAATAATCCATACCATTGTTAGCAGAAATTCCTAATCATCATATTACTAACTGGTTATCATATTAAAGTTTTTAACTGTCTTTTTAATTATATTGAAAGAAGAATATTTAATTTTTAAATGTAGGAAATATTAGTGTTGTTATTATTTATGTTAAAGCCTTTTTATCAACATATTCAAAAATGTATTTGTGTGCATGTATAAATAAATGCACACTGCCTTATTCATGCTGATATGTGATGTAATACAATGTTCTAAACTTTAAACAATGTTCTTATGTGTGCGGTATTTTCTTTTTAATTATGTATACGCACTATTCAGTCAATGCTTATATCTTTAATTTCTTTTAGATTTAACAAGGATTAATTTAATTACAAAAATATGTCTTCTCATGACAGTCCTCTAAATTTATTTATATGTATCAACTAAGGATTAATATTGAACTATTTAAGTTTAATTGATACTTTCATTATGTGAAAGATCAAATATATATATACATTCTATTTTTAAGCAAAAATCAAAATTAATATGTAAATGAAATCAAAAATTTTCATCTCAGGTATTAGGTAATTAGGCAATATTTCATTTAATTATTGTCTGTATTTTTTTTATATGTTTGATTGTATATAATTATTTGTTTTAAGTTGCACAAAATCAAAACTTATGTTGTATAATTAATAAAAAAAATATTTAATGGAAGTTATTAATTTGTAGTACTATAATGAGTTATGCGATATTATAAGGGTGAAAATAATGTTTTATGGGTAACAGTTGAAATTTTGTAAATGTTGAAAGTATAACATTATAATTTAAAATTTTCTAGTTTTTGATTTATGTCTAAAACATTTTATAAATATTTGTTCATTGATATTAATTTTTTTTTATTAAAAAAGTAAGACGGGTATCTATTTTACTAGCATTTGTGACATCCATCAATTCTTTTTTATTCTTATTTTTACTTATTTTAATATAACACTATATTAAACTCACTATAAGTTTCAAAATAATACAATTAATGTACTGTGGGCTGACTTAAAGTTTTATCTGTTGTTTTTCCTTGTCACCAGGGTCAACTCATAGACTTCAATAAAGTTTAATTTAATAAATTTATGAAGAGAATTGATGGATTTGCTCTAAATTAATAAATATTATGTATAAGCAAGCTGTGTTTGTATCTTGTGATTTGTAACTTTATGTTGTTGTTTGTGTGTTGTTTTACTGATATTTGACCGTTTTTTATTAAATTGATTTTCCAGTTGAAAATTGCAAACTGTTAATATATAATTGGGTTTTGAATTACAAATACTTGCACATTAAATGACAAATATCCCATTCATCACATCAAACTTGCTTGGTATTTTAAGAAACATACAAAATGGTCACTCATTCTGTAAAATAGATTATAGACATTTTTTAATACCTTTGGGTTATACATAAAATCAATTAAAATGTTTATTTTGTTAAATTCTGAATAATTTCAAAAGGATTATATAGAACTTATATTTGAAATGTATAAGTCTTTTTATATTTATCCATAAAACTGGTTAATTAAAATAATTAATACTTCAACACTTTACTATGAAATAAAACTAATACTATGCCCCACACACACACAAACTAAAAAAAGAATAGATACTGTCTTTGTGTATCTAAAAAATTTAAATTTTCAAATGCATAAAACAAGTGACTTATAAAATTTATTAAATACATCCAATGTATGACTTATAAAAATACTGATCCATCCTATAGATCTTAATTATTCAAATATCTTTTAGGGTAACCATAAATCAGATACCATTGCTTTAGTTTTTTCATTGTGGCTTATCCACTACTGTTTAATCTTCTTTTATTTAATATATAACCATGTTGACTATAAAATAATCTTTAAAAATCTTAACATATATATAATTGTTTTAAAGAAGGCAAAAAATTTTATAAAGCATCCATTTTTCCAACATAATTTCAAAACACTGTTAACTTAAAAGTATACTTCTTATCATTAAAAGATAGGCATTTATTTGTATTTTAATACACCCTGTAACAGTTTTTCGTATATAAATATTCATTAACACAAAAATAAAATATCTGTTTGTTAAACATTTGAGTTGTTGAAATAAGCTCATTCTTTGTTATTTAGGTAATTTAAAGCAAGAAGTTTGAATAAAACTTGCTCAACAATCATCCTTTTTATTTTATTAATACCAAATCATTTAAATTGATTATATTTAATAATAACATTTTTTTATCTATATATAATTATGTAAAACTAATTTAGTTCGTGTTAAATCTAAAGTATTTAATTTTAAAATAAGATATTTTTCTTTATATTATTACATAAACATAATTATTATTTTAACATGAACAACTTTTCTTATTAAAGGTGATATTAATTCATAATATAGAATACTTAGGGGATAATAGAGCATCTAAAATGAAAATTCTAATGGTGAAATTAAAATATATATAAATAGTTTAAATTAGTACAATTATTAATTCATCATAAGTTCATCCAGCCAAAAAGAAGAAGAATTTGGGAATTCTTTTTAATTTTTAAAAATGAAATTTTCTTTTTATAATTTTTTAAACTAAGTTTAAGTCATACAATCAAACTTTAAAAAAACAAACACTGCCACTTGTTTATTACAAACTGAGTTAAAAATATAGCTAAGTGTTTGAAGTACATAAAAGTTATTATTTACCAAGAATATAACCAATAAATGCTAATTTGTTTTCATAAAAATAAAAAATAAAAATATTTTAAAAATCAAATAACTAAAAACCACTGTGCAAAATGTCTAATATGTGGCTAAATTAGTTAATTATATAGTTGTATTAAAATTAATTGACATAACATGTTTATTTATGATTACTTAAATAATAAAACACATTGTTCAAGGGCATTATGTGAATATACTACGATCACTAATTATACAGTAGTTAAAGGACAAATAAATCATTTTTTATTATATAACAGTTGTAAACAAATGTTGTA